CAAACAGTTAGATGAATTCAGTATGTAAGCTCCAGCAGATACGGCTATGGCAGCATAAGTAGGAGGGAGAGTCAGGTGGGAATGGGAATGGGGGGTCCCTGAAACGGCAGCACTCTAGCTTCACCCCCCCCCCCCCCCCCCTGTGGAATTAGAGTGACAGCGCTGACAGTTCAGTTCATCCAAAACCAATTGTATCTGTATTTATCTGGATGGATGACTGGTTAGGTTCTGGAGGTGATTTTGATGTAGTTGTGGGGTGCAATTTGTATACAAATGCACCGTTCATAGTAAAGGCAGAGAACAAGGTTTGCAGTATAGAGGTACAAGACAAGAATTTCAAATTTGATAATGTACCTGGAAGGTTTGAAAGGCGCCACTTTCCCAGCCTATGAAAAATCTTCAAGTTACCATAAAGCTCTATGTATACATAGGAAAAAAACTAATTCAGATTACAATAAAAGCAAATCTGTAGTTCTTGCAATAAATACAACAGTACTGTGTGATCTACCAATGCAGTAAAAGTGACATCATGAAGCAGTTGAGGATCTCTAGTGTATTTGGTTGCATGCAAAACTCTCATTATTGTTCCTCAAGCTTCTAAAGCTGGTAATGGTGCTGCCAGTAACTCTTCCTTTCTTACTGTTCATAATTTTAAACTGACATAAACTAGAAAAATACAAGAAATGCCATTTATTTCTTAGCAGTCAACCAGATGAACATAGGCAATTTTACTGGGTGTGAAATTGCACTGACAGTGAAATGTTGCATGGCTTAACTAAGCCATGCAACTTTGCTCTCTGGATGATTACTGCTGGGGGATTATTAAATACATGAAGAAATTGTGTGTATCGGTGTTAAATATATTCAAATTATACAAAAAGTTACATTCTGTATTTGTCTTGCAAGTAATTGGCAGTAACTAGATTGCAAGAATTCAGGAGCGCTATAGTAATATTGAGTTCACATGGTTTGGCTCACATTGAGCATCCTTTGTACAGATGGAGATGATTCGGATCTTGCGTTACATTACAGGGAGCTGCTTAATTAACATGTTAAATGTAGCAAGGGGAATTAGTTCCTAGTCTTGTTCTGTTAAATTGTCTGTTCAGTATAATTTTATTGAATGTGTTCTGTCAGATAGGAAGAAAAACAAACCATACCCCTTACGTTTTATGATTAGTATAACTGTATTTTACCTATTTATAGGTAAAATTCTTATAGGCAATCATATATAATATGCTGTACTTTAATGGATGTACTGGAATATCAGTTGTTTGCAGCGATATTAATAACATTGTATAATAATGTGTAATAATGGTATCAGAACCTGAATGCATGATTGCTAATTTGAAAACACAGCAAATATAGATCAGTTGGTGGTACAGCTCTATCTGGTAGTGATAGCACCCCTGTCGCTTGATATTTCACAGTAAAGCCATCCAATTGTGTCACACTTAAAGGAATCAAGAAGAAGAAGAACTAAACTGGGTCTTGTGTATTTAAGCTAGTTAATGTAATGGAATAACAAATTTACTGTATACTGGATGTGCCAAATAGAAAAGCCAACAAATATAAATTCTAGCTAGTGAGTATATGGTCAATAAATGTCCGCATTTTCATTATGTGATTTGTTATGTTCTCAGTTTGTGAACTCTAAATTCTTTTATTTATTTTAAACGTATTTCAGTTTAAGCTTTCAAAATGGCGCTGGACTGTTGTAATCAAATCGCTGCATTGCAGTTCTTTAATTCCGCTTCATTTTTTTTTTGGGTCTCCCTCTGTCCCTCGGCTTGTACTGCATACTGCAATATTGTCACCGTGGCAACCTGGTTTCCCTCGCCAAACTCCATCCGCTAAATATAAGTTCTATCTTGACCCACTCTGGTTTTTAGCCTCACTCTAAAATGCTTGGAATTGGAAGAGATGAGCATTAAACCTTTGTGTAAACATAACAATATTACAAACTTAAATATCACCTAATGTTAAAACAATGTAAGTCAATTTTGGCCTTGCTGATTATTCATGTTATTTCTGGTTATTATGCAAAAAATTCTGCTTGCTTAGTAGAGAAATTCTCTTTCATAATTTTGGTTAATTGTTACTGTAGTTTTAAACAGGTTTATCTCATGGTGTTAAGTGCATAGAATTATGAATAATCAATAGCAATGTTTTTTCCATTTTGTATTTATTGGAAGGAAATTTTGATCTTTTTCTTGCCCTCCAGAATGGTGTTCTACACAAAGTGATTCCACTGTTCCAGGAGAGAAGAAAGACCCTTAAGAAAAGGTTAAGTGTCTATCATTTCCCTACCATTATTACTGTTAGTTTGAGTTGATTTTGGCTCATATTTTAGTGTTTATAAGATCCCCAGTTTGAGAAGGGGCCAGATGTGTTTGCCAGATGTGTTCTTTTCTAGAAGTGATAGCTTAATGATTTTCTGCTGTAATTATTGCCAGGGTCTTTACCGTAAGAATGAATTTTATGAACATTTAATGAGACTTGACATCCAAATGCTGCACACTTGGGGCAGATTCCTAATTTGTAACGATTTTGCTATTAATTTTTTTAAAGCTATTTTTCACAAATGGCGGGAAAATTAGAAATACAGGTTTAGCAAAAACATTTAAAGCAGCTTACATATAACATTAAACATATGCAAAATTTACAAGCTGTGTCCAAATTTTGGTAAACTAAACCAGGAAAAGAGTAACGTAAAATTTGGAAATTCTGGAAAAAACTAAAACTGTTTGTGTTCATTAGTAGTATCATCCATTGTGATGTATTGATGCATTCCCGATAACTCAGAACTTGAACATTTCCAACCATCTACTTAAAGTACTGTACTATTACGATAGAACAACCGAATGGAATGCATTCATACGCAGGTGAATGCTAATACCGCTAGCGTTTGATGCTAACATAAGACTGTAATTCCATAGACTTGCTAGCAGAAATCAGCACATAGTAAATCATGATGTGAACTGTAAATAAGCATGTGAACTGTAAATAAGCATCTCTTTAGTTTTACCTTACTGTTGCTTTCCAAACCTGGCAACGCCTTTACCGAGCTATCTCTTCTGCAGTGGAAAACTAAATAGAGCTGAGACCATGCTGTAACTATTCTCTCTTTGCGGTTTGGCTTGGTTCCTGTATGGCAGTGGAAAAGTGCTGTTTAAGTTCTGATGCTGAACTCCAATCTGGCAAGGATGAAGATTTGGTGTTTAGAAAATGAAACACTATTGATTGTTTGGTCATATTTCAGCTAGCCAGATGCTATATGATGTGAAATTTCTGTTACTATTGTAATTTCCATTTGTTTAAGCAAAACAAATATTTTAGTTATAGTTTTCTTAAAATGTTCGATAATGTTTGTACTAGTTTTACGTTGTTTCATTTTGTCTTCATGAATTATGTCCTACACAGAGATATGAGGAGGGTTGGGCAGTCCCTGCTTTAATAAAACAATTTTATGTGTACTGTAATACTGACAATTCTGTGATAATATTCTAAATGTCACAAGGTAAAAAAAAAAAAGATTTTATTGTTATCGAAGTAAAAAAGCAAAAATACTGTGATCTTGATTTTAGGTCGTATCAGCCTGTGTGTGTGTGTGTGTGTGTGTGTGTGTGTGTGTGTGTGTGTGTGTGTGTGTGTGTGTGTGTGTGTGTGTGTGTGTATCGTTGGTCCCAAGGCGATTCGAATCGATGCTTCAGGAACTGTTATATAGGGAGTGATTTGATTTCATTAATTGATTATCAAACTAATTTAATAACCTTACTTCAAGCCTTTTATAATGAGAAATATTCACAAATATGACCATGGAAACTTAATGACACGTTATTAATAGATAATAAAAAAAGTAGGATCTTAGAACATTCATTTTTAATTAACCGGGAGAACAAGCCAGTGTAAATTCTAGAAAAGGCCAACTACTGAAATGTACAAAAAACACATAAAGGCTGCTTTCACCTATGCTAACAAGTAGTGTGCCAATGTTGAAATTTTAACTGATACAGCGCACTGATATATTTTTGTCTAATATCACCAATATCGATAACCAGCTAACAACCTAACTGTCTGCGAGGGGGTGCCCGCGGTGAAGCTTGCCGACAAAGATTAGTTAAGTGACAGTACATTGTTTTTTTCATTTGGTGGGAAATGAAAAGTAATTTTGCTGGTCAGATTTCAGAACGAATTTTAAACGTCATGAGTCAATAGTTTCGAGACCACTTCAGAGTGATGAATGAGCCAGCGATGCCCCTCGTCCTTCGGTACGGAAAATTACTGATTATCTAAGGCAATCATCTCCATTTTTTTTCAACAGCTGTGTGTTTAGCTCTGCTGTTTTGATGATTTCAAAATTAAGCAGGAGTATAAGTCTACAGGTAGAGTTAAAAAATAACATTAGACTGTCTAAGAGGGATGTAGAAAGAAAAATTGCATTGGAGGCTAAGGATGACAATAAAAGTTTCTTCCAATATTTTAACTCCAAAAGAGCTCTAAAAGCTGAAATCACTAATTTGCCGGATAGTAAGGGACTTATAATTGATAATGAAATTGATATGGTAAATGAGTTTAATGATTATTTTTCATGGGTGTTCACAGTAGAGAACACGAGTAACTTACCACCAATTAGTACGAATACAGCGTCGTCTATGACCAGTATATGTATAACTGAGGCTGATGTGGTACTAAGCCTAGCTAAACTCAAAATAAATAAATCGCAGGGCCCTGATGGCATCTTACCTATAGTTTTAAAAGAGATGAGGGATGTTATTAGCCAACCTTTAACTTTAATATTCCAGAAATCGTTATCTGTGGGTGCGGTACCTTCAGATTGGAAGCATGCTAATATAACACCCATATTCAAAAAAGGGGATAGAAGTAATCCATCAAACTATAGGCCAATAAGTTTACCTTGCATAACTAGAAACATAATGGAAACTATAATCCAAGTGAAAATGGTAGATAACCTGGATGTAAATAACATTCTGAGGGATAGCCAACATGGATTTAGGAGAGGTAGATCCTGTTTATTGAATCTACTTGAGTTCTTTGAGGAAGCTACAAGTGAAATTGATCACAAAAAGGCCTACGATGTGATCTACTTAGATTTCCAGAAGGCCTTTGATGTTGTCCCCCACAAACGGCTCTTGCTAAAGCTTAAAGCTGCAGGGATTTTAGGAACTTTGGCAGCTTGGATCGAAAACTGGTTAACTGACAGGAAGCAGCGAGTAGTTATTAGAGGCACAATGTCACAGTGGGCCTGCGTTCATAGTGGGGTACCGCAGGGTTCAATTTTAGGACCACTATTGTTCTTAATTTACATTAATGACATTGACACCAATACATACAGTAAACTGGTTAAATTTCCAGACGACACCAAGGTAGGTGGTGTAGCAGATACTGATCTATCAGCAAAGAGGCTACAACAGGATCTGGATTTAATTAGCAACTGGGCTGATACTTGGCAGATGAAATTTTACACAGATAAATGTAAGGTAATCCATGCAGGGAGCAGAAATATAAAAGTACAGATATTTTATGGGTTCCACTGAAATAAAGGTAGCTGATTATGAGAAAGATCTCGGTGTGTATGTTGATGCTTCCATGTCCCACTCTCACCAGTGTGGGGAAGCAGTAAAAACGGTCAATAGAATGTTGGGTTATATCTCTAGGTGTGTGGAGTTTAAGTCAAGGGAGGTGATGTTACGATTATACAATTCCTTGGTAAGACCCCATCTAGAATACTGTGTGCAGGTTTGGTTACCATACCTTAAGAAGGACATTGCTGCCTTAGAAAAGGTGCAACGGAGGGCTACAAGAATGATTCCTGGTCTTAGAGGAATGTCTTATGAGAAGAGGTTAGCTGAGCTGAATCTGTTTTGCCTTGAGCAAAGGAGACTAAGGGGGGACATGATCCAGGTCTATAAGATTCTAACAGGTCTGGATGCTGTTAAGAACATAAGAACTATACAAATGAGAGGAGGCCATTCGGCCCATCGAGCTCGCTTGGGGCAAGAAAAACGCCATGACTCCAAGCCACCCCTCCACCACCCCCAAATGAAATACCCCCCATTTCTCCAAAAAATGAGTCAAACTAGCCAAATGGCTATTTCAATATTAGTTTAAGTACTAGAACTCGTGGCCATACGTGGAAATTAGCGGGAGAACATAAAAAAAAATAAAAAAATTGAGGAAGCACTTTACACAGCGTGTAGTTAGAGTATGGAATAGTCTTGCTAGTGTAGTGGAAGCTAAAACCCTGGGTTCCTTTAAATCAGAGCTAGATAACATTTTAACAACTCTGAACTATTAGTTAAGTTCTCCCCAAACGAGCTTGATGGGCCGAATGGCCTCCTCTCGTTTGTAAATTTCTTATGTTCTTAAGAAAACTCAGAACACAACGTGCCACTTCTTAACAGTACCGTCCTTCAATTCTTTCGACTGATGGCTTTTAGCCAAGCTTTCCGTCATCTTTCCAATAATTCTCCGTTTTCTTTGCCTTGATTTTCACAAACCAAAGATAGGGAGGAAGCCTAGATTTGGGTTTTCCTTGCTACTCTTGTCACTTCCCCGGTAAAATGGCTGCCACCTCATTTTCATTTATGCCACTTTGGACAATGATGTCAACGTAATACAGCCCATTGCTATCATAGCTAGCAAAAAGAATGCATCTTTGGCACTGCAAAAGAGCTGTGTATCCCAAAAGCATCATCATGTAAAGATCATCAAAGGCCTTGTTCACACCTGGTATTAGCATGCGTCCTGGGTGATCCGATTACAAGTGGACAGCGCTAAATACTAGAGGTCGACCGATGTATCGGTTTTGCCGATTAATCGGCACCGATAGTTGATTCCCGGAACTATCGGTTATCGGCAAAAATCCACGCCGATAGTTTTTCCGGGTTGCGTCAGAGCTGAAGCGGCTGAGAACGGTCCGTTGTCCTTATACAGTGCGAGAGCCAACATGTATATCTATGGCAAGAGCCGCCTCTATAGGCGAAAATCGCTGTAAAGCACATGCTTTTGTTTTGACA